CTGCCGAATGTATCAAATGATCCATGCAAATATATTGTAGCATCTTTGTACTCCTTGGTGGCGCAGATAACGAAGCTACGATCAATTCACACTCGACGAAATGTTGGTGGCTGCTGTAACGATCGCGTCTCGTCACAAGGTGACGTCGAAAAGAGCATATTGATCAGGTTTCACATGTCCGGGGAGTCGGCTAGGCTGCGCCCGTTAAAGATTGTTTCACGCGCTCTCCAATGTCTCAAACGCAGTCAGCTTGTTGGCAATTCCATATCTATGTCCCATATATTTACTGAGATGACATTTTCTACCCCACACAGTGCACGGTTAAATGCCCAATTGTTGTCAACCATCGTGGTGTTGTATGTCACGCGCCGAGCTCCTCAGCGTTCTCAGGTGCGAACGGATAATCGGTGTACCCCACCGGGTCCTCGACGAGGTAGAACTTCTCTCGTTCGTACTTCGTCAGCGGGACGTTCTTCTTAAGACGCAATGGCAGGTCCGGCTATAATAAACAGAAACCGGCGAACGTCAGACCAGGGACGTACTGATAGAATTTTAAAAAAATTGGCTACTTACGTTGGAAATATAAGCCCTGCCGAAAGCAATTAAGTTCCCCGTCTCTTCCGCTGCTTGAATCGCAAGCTCTCGACTGTATCCTCCTGCACTAATCAGTGCCCGGGGCGCCCATATCTCACGGATGAAATCGTTCGACTGTACGGCGTAGAAGGATGAGCATTCCCGGTGTTTCAGCGAACGAACGTGTTGAGCGCACCTCTCCTTCCAGCACCACACGGTCAGCGTTCCCGGTCACCCGTGGCTCTACCAAATGGATAAAGGCCAGCTTCGGCTGTCTCTCCGCAAGCTTCTGGACGACATAGCTGAAAGTCGGAACGGGGTCTGACATTCTCATGCCTGCAAAAATATTAGTATGACAGACGCAGCTTTGTAGCGTAGGATTAAACTTGCTATTGAATGTGCCCCAAGGGCTCAAGCGGATACCGGTCTTTCCTGCGCCAATCTTCTCAACGACGGCGTCGACAACCTCCAGAGCGAAGCGCGCCCTCTTCTCAATTGATCCACCGTAGTCATCCGTGCGTTTGTTCGTGACGTCCTGGGTGAACTGGTCGATGAGGTAGCCGTTCGCGCCGTGGATCTCAACGCCATCGAACCCGGCCCCGTGCACCGCGTTGGAAGCAGCCGTGGCATACAATTGCACAAATCGCTGAACCTCTGCATTACAAGAGAGCTTCAAGTCAGACAGAACTCACAATAAGAATAACATCTGAGAAGGCAGATAAACTCACCATCAATAGTTAGAGGACGTGGTGGGAAGGGCTTTCCCTCCAGAGCGACGTCCGAAGCAGAGACATACGGATAAGGGCCCTCCTTCTCGAGCACCGTCGGCTCAGCAGCCCGTCCGAGCGCCCACAGCTGCAGGTAGATGAACGATCCTTTCGCATGCACGGCTTCTACGACCTATCAGACGCAACATCGTAGCATGATGAGCACAGACAGCGTGGGAAGGATAGACAGTCATCAACTTCACTTACAGGCTTCCATGCGGCTATCTGCTCTTGAGTGTAGATGCCGGGAATGTTGTCGTACCCACCAGCCTCGGGGGCGATGAAGGTAGCCTCAGTGATGAGCATCGTTCCGGGTACGGCTGCACGTTGCTTGTAATATTCCACAGCCATTTCATTGTGGACATGGTCCTTGCGGGCACGCATACGCGTCAGAGGTGCGAGGACGACACGGTGTTGAACCGTCACGTCGCCTACTTGCAGTGGGGTGAAGAGTTTAGGCGTGGTGCTAGCCATATCCAAATACAGGCCGACTGTGGGTAAGTGTGCGTGTGTGAGTGGGAGAGAGGATGATATTCAGAGAGGTTTTGTAGAGCTAGAGGGCCCATCCAGATGTCATTTTATAGATTCTACACACGAGCTGACTAACGTACCTAGTAAGAGGACTTGAATAAGATGGCGCCGGCTGAGTGTACCACCACGACCTCTGCGGGATCGACACAATTCGCAATAGATCGCAAACTGTCAGTTCACTATTCAATCGCATAGATACTGACAAAACAGAGGTGTCATGACATACGCAGAGACTGTATCTTCAGTCATCCGACAGATTGCCCTTGTAGTCTAGCATTAGTTCAGCGCAAGAACATCCTGCAAGACGACGGTGAGCCTTTCGCGAAGTCGGAAAAGTGTGTATTCCACATACTGTTTAGCATGTCTTGTCTCATTGCGTAGGCTACAACACCGTCGTCAATAACGCATATGGTCACATTGCTAATGTCACTAAACACCGAGCTATCCAGCGGTGTTTGGAGGCACTAGCATTATTGCCAGCTCGGTATTGTTAGACGACTCGAGCGCGGCTGGTGTACCGTCGCGCTTACGACACGCTAGCTTCCGGATGATCTGAAGTCTTAACTGCTGAGATATAGTAGCAAAACAAGACTGAGCTGTAATATTGCCGTCGGCGTGCAAGAGTGTCCAAGGTGAAGTAGAAGGTACAATACAGATGCTGACGACATCACGATCAACGGTTGAGCGCTAATATTATATGAACTATGTGATCAGCATCCTAATGCATGCATGATCCAGGCAGCCCTATGTACGTGATATGCGCTCTAGGTGCACAACGGAACTCCATGCGGCCCGTCAGCCTCGCTATAGTCGCGAAAGTGATGGTGTCGGCCCAAGGTCTGCAACATTCTCAGGAGCGAACGGATAGTCAATGTATCCTTCGGGTTTTTCCGTATCATAGAACGTCTTGCGGTTATACACGACCAACGGAAGGTTCTTCTTCAGTCGTAAGGGCAGATCCGGCTGCGAAAAAGACAGAGTGAGCGTATATTTCGGAACGGACTGAGCATTCACGCACGTTAGGAATAAAGGGGCGTCCAAACCCGATGAGGTCGCCCTTCGTCTCCGCCACTTCCAGGGCAAGATCTCGAGTGTAACCTCCTGCAGTAATCAGCGGACGAGGTGCCCAAATTTCACGGATGAAGTCGTTCGACTGCACAAGAAGATTAGCCCGGAACATTTTGTATTCCGATATAAGAAGGACATACCACTCCTGCTGGGACCTCACGCTCCTTGATACCATCCACACGAGGCTCAACCAAATGAATGAAAGCCAAGTTGGGTTGCCTCTCTTTGATTTTCTGGACAACGTAGGCGAATTGTGGCATGGGTTCTGCCATCCTCATACCTGTCGACCCACACTATCATCAACTTGTGGAGTACAGGCAGATCCCGAATACACTCACCGCCGTAATTACCCCAGGGACTAAGACGGATTCCGGTTCTCTCGGGCCCAATCTTCTCGACGATAGCGTCGATGACTTCGAGAGCGAACCGCGCCCTGTTCTCGATCGAGCCACCATACTCGTCCGTCCGTTTGTTAGTCACATCTTGGATGAACTGGTCCACCAGATACCCGTTCGCGCCGTGAATTTCAATGCCGTCAAAACCGGCCCCGTGCACCGCGTTCGCTGCGGCTTGCGCGTACCATTTTACGTATTGCTTGACCTCTGTAATCAATTGAAATTGAGCAACTCCGGAACGAACGAGGAACATGTTGCGTCGCGTACCGTCTGTTGTCAAAGGTCGTGGCGGGAATTTTCTCTCAGGATGGGTCACGTCCGAAGCAGAAACATACGGATATGGACCTTCGTTCTCGAGTACTGAGGGTTCGGCCGCCCGACCGAGCGCCCAAAGCTGCATGTAGATGAACGATCCTTTTGCGTGCACGGCTTCTACGATCTGACGCATGCGTATTAGGAATAGATAAGCGTAAGCTTTGCAACAACAGCACATCTACTCACTGGTTTCCATGCCTCTATCTGCTCCTGGTTCCATATACCAGGAACGAAGGTCAGTCCACCAGCCTGGGGAGCAATGAAGGTCGCCTCGCTGATCATCATTGTCCCTGGTACGCAGGCACGTTGGGTGTAGTATTCTATCGCCATTTTGCTATGAGTATGACTCTTTTGAGCACGAAAACGGGTGAGAGGTGCGAGAACGACGCGATGTTGAATCGTGACATTGCCGACTTTTGCGGGAGAGAAGAGTTTGGGTACTGCCGTGGTCATAATGCCAGCACGGGCTATCTGTGGTGAAGAGGTATGTGAAGGTTTGGGTATGGGTGCAATGAGGGAGTGTTAAGGCCGAAGGACTTGAAGGCGTGCCATTTAAACCTCCTGCATGCGGGCTGACTAACGACCGCTTGGGGCAGCTTGTATAAGACGGACAGAAGCGCTCAAAGTGCGACCGGGGAACGATAGTATCACCCTAGCGCTGCTTTCAAAGAGGGGATTTTCATCTGCAATAGTTTTTCGCACGTAAACTCGGAGACATTCTGGAGATACAAATTCCATGTGATATTTCTTGGCTACGTCGGTAAATTTCGGTAGCCTGTTCAATGTTATGATGAGCACACAAAATGCACCTGCAATTATGTATGTGACTTACCATGAGGATCCCGCATATAGCACCAGTCGACCACAATCCAACTGTGGTTTTCCTCGGATGTCACGGGCTTCCAGCTGACTCGAGTACCGCGTCTGCTGTATTACGGGAATATTGTGGCCCAGTCCGTATGTCGATATGGCGAGATGCTAGTTGCGCATAGAGATACGAGCGTTCTCAGTCGTTGAGGACGGTGTTGAGCTTAGTCTAACCTTTACAGGAATATTCTGCGCATTGCTAAACGTGATGCAACACGTACATTTCAAATGCGGGGCAGCGAACATAGCAGAACTCGAGAACCCGACCAACCGGACTTTGCAGGCCAACGATTCTCGATCTGCTGAGTAACAAGCTCTTGCTTGGTAAGTGGAGGACCTAGAAAATCTTCACGAGTCTCAGTGACACGGTCCTACGGCAACGAGAAAGACGTGCTTGCGTACCACGAATTTCGGACCGACGTCCAAAATATGTTGTAAGCGCTGGGAAAGCCTTCTGTTTTGGTCGTGGGAAACCTTAAATATAGGGCATTTGGCACAGTTGGTAGCGCGCTCGCTTCGCATTGCGTAACTGCGTGAGGTCGAGGGTTCGAATCCCTCAATGTCCAATTTTTCGCATTATGGCCAAAACAAACCCTCTTGTCTTCCATATCATCCCCGTCGCTGCAGTGTCTAGCGCGCCCGCAGGTATCTATACCGTTTCGACGCCTTTGGCTGATTACGTCTTTTTACTACAGGATCTTTGTTCGCGCCCTCGTTGTTTCTCGACTGTCATGACACATCTGCAATCTCACTTCGTTGTAATAAATTTGAACCGTGTCATCTTGTACACGATAGAAAAAAGACGAGCAGGCCGCATGCGACAAGTTGGGCGCATCGTAGAGTGACGAGCACGCTGATGATAGGCCAGAAGGTGAACCAGAGCAAGGGGGTGTAGACGAGAAAGGCGACGAACAGGCGAAGAAGGGACGACTGGGGTGGCGCGTGTAACACCGTTGGGTTTTCGAGCTGAGCGAGTGGAACATGCGTGGGCGGGAGGTCCTGAGAGACATGGGGTGCGTGCTCGACGTTAAAGATGGGCGTGAGCTGCTCCAAATGGTCCATCGTGTTCGACGTTGGGTAACCTATACTCGCTGCTCGATGCGGTATGTATTTCGACAATCGATTATTCCTAATAACTTTCGTCGTTAGCGCGCTCGAGGTGAATGCGGGATTTGAGTCAATACCTCCCCGAGGGCGCGGACAAGGTGTGAGGAGTAAAGTTGCGATAAGCCAAAGACCTTTATAAAAAGCGAGGTGGGAAGATGATCAGCATGCAACCTTGTTCGGCGGCGGGATGTAGATAGAAGTCACCTGGGTGTTATTTGTATACATTGCAGACTGGATGGGCAGTACAAATTTGCAAGTCAGAACATTGAATAGATATCGGTGGCCTAAACCTAGACAAATACAGGACGCACACTGACGCATTGTGAAGAGGCGAGAAGCATGGGGACCAAAGTATACACAGTACTTCGTATCGTGACGCGCATGCCGCGGAGTGACAATTGCTTTCTCAACGGGACCTCGGCACCAGGCAAGCTGCTCTTCTCGCGCAACATATCCACCTTTATAATATCACACGCTCAAGCAGACCGAATATAGTAAAGGATTTTAATTCGATTCCCTACTGTAGAACTAAGGATACAGTGTCAGTGTGTGTGTATGTGCGTATGCGTGCGTGTAATCTACAAATGCAATCGTCTCGTGTCATGAGTCCACGTCGAAAGAGCGTTAGGATGGTATAATGGTACGTCAAAATGAAGGAAATGAAGGAATAAAGTTATCATGTTATCATGAATCAAGGGGTGAAAGAAGGACTGTCGAATGTCGAAAGGTCGGGACGGCAGCGAGGAAAAGGGCTCAATCCATCCATTCGCCGCCGCTGGCAAGCTGGGCAAAAACGCCGCGCTTTGCCACTAGCTGCTCGTACGTGCCTTGCTCGGCAACCTTGCCGTCACTGAGAACAATCACCCGGTCGCACATCTGCATTGCCTGCAGTTTGTGGGTGACCATGATGACTGTGCGGCCGAACCTGGCGCCCCGGATGGTGTCCAAGACGGCGGCCTGATTCGCGGGGTCGAGCGCAGATGTGCACTCGTCGAGGATCAGGATCCGAGAGGGACGAGCCAGTGCGCGAGCAATTTGGAGACGTTGTGCCTGTCCGCCAGAGATGAGGGAGGCGTTCTCGCCGACCATCGTGTCATAGCCTTTGGGAAGGGACATGATGAAGTCGTGGACATTGGCATCACGAGCAGCTTCCTCAATCTCCTGCCTGGACAGTCTCGAATTGCCGTACGCGATGTTCTCGGCAATCGTGGCATCGAAGAGGGTGGCTTGCTGGCTGACGACGGAGATGTTCTGGCGCAAGTATTGAACATCGATGGTCTCGATGGCTTCCGAGCCGATGAGAACAGTGCCCTCGGTAGGCTGGTAGAGACGTTGAAGCAGCGAGGCGATGGTGGTCTTCCCAGATCCAGATGCGCCGACAATGGCGACGCACTCGTGTTGGCGGACATCGAACGAAGCACCTTTGAGAACGGGTACGTTGGAGCGTTCAGGGTAGGAAAAGTCGACGTCTTGGAAGGAAATTTCTCCGGAGATGAAAGGGCGACGAGTGCCTTGTGACTCGTCGGTAGAACGGTTAAGCTTGAGAAGGGTATTCAAATCGTCTGTCGCCTGGACAGCTTTGGAAATTCGTTCGGCTAGAGAAGACAATAATCAGGACATGCACGATAGAGAGTGTGTGCAGAGACTCACTAAAAGACATAAGTTGAGATCCAATGGTAACGGTGAAGACGACAAGATTAAGGACTTGTAACATGCGAAGAGTAGTGTAGGTTCCTTTGGCGATAAGTGCAGAGCCAGCATAAAAGAGAATAGCTTCGGCGATATAGATGAGGCCAGTGGCGACTCCGTGTGTTGCGCCCTCCACAAAGGCGCCCCGCACCCCTGTGGCGTGCGCCTGATCAACACACTTTTCAAACTTGTCTTGGAAAGCACGCTCGAAGCCCATGGATCGGACACCACGAATGTTAGAAATGGCCTATAATCAAGGTTAGCAACATTCAATGACGGATGATGAAGAGAACGTACATCGTAGTATCCTTTGGCCACTTCTTCGCGAGCGCGCTTGTTGCGGTATTCGCAGTTTGCAACCAGCCGTGTCTGGAGGGTCATGACCACAACGAAGACTGGTGCAATAGCAACTCCGACGAGGGTCAACTGCCATCCTTGAACGAGCGCCCAGATGAGACCGACGCAGAGCATGGACATCACTACGAACGCCTGAGCGAGAACGGTAGCAATAAGCGTGCGCGCGTCGTCGCCGTCCTTGATGAGGATCTGCATCAAGCGCGAAGAGCTGTGCTGAGTCTTGTCGAACCACTTCTTGTCCTGGGCGAAGAGCAAGCTGATGCACTGCTTGCGGACTTTGTTGACCCAATCGATAGCGACATACTCGAGAACGAAGTACTTGAGGCCGAGGAAGATGCCGTCGCCCGCCGCCATCGCAAGAGAGATTCCACCCCACAAGTTGACAGCCGACATGTCCGATGCGCCAGTGGTGACCTCGTAGACGAGGCGAGACAGGAAGAAAGAGAAGATGGGAGTCATAGCGCCGCTGATGATGCTAGCGAGGATGCCGAGGAGGAGGAAGGGTTTCATGGGTAGCGTTGGCCATATGTCGATGAGCAAACCGATCGTCGAAGACGATTTGGGCTTGTCATCCTCTTTGACTTCCGACTTGTCGACTGTGACCTCCGTCAATGCCGCCAAGACGGCAGGATCCCATTTAGTACGTTCACGCTTCGTCTGCTTCTCTGATACGAGGCTGACCGTGCTGCGAGAAGGAGCAAGAATGCGCTTTGTGAGAGCCCCGTTCTCGTCGACATCGTCATCGCCGACGACAGTGGTAGAGAAGAACGATGCAGCTGAAAGCGAGGTGCTGGTGGGCGAAGACGGTGTGAACTGCAAGCTGTATCGGGGCGGTCGGGAGTAGGCGGGTGGAGGGGAAGCCAACGATGGGATGTGGAGGTGCAACGACTGAGGACGGGGGGACGCAGGGAGTTCGCCCGAGAACTCCTCTAAGGGTACGAAACGGCTCAGGGGTGGCAGCGTAGGTTCCGGGGCAGCGAGGGTGTCGTCGCCTGTAACCTTGGTCAAGTCGGAAATGGCATCGAACATCCAGTTGCTGGTGGTCAACCGGCGGTAGACAGTCTGGCGCTTCAGAGTCTTCGAGTTGATCTCTCCAGACTCGAGCTCCTCTTCCGCCTCTTGGAGGAATGTATCGACCGGAACTTCCTTTTCGAGATCAGCGTCACTTTTCTCGGGGAAGCCGCCAGTCGCGTTTTGTTGTCGGAGCATGCGAGTGAACTCGGATCGCTTGATCTCCTCCAGGTCGGACCGGTAGCCGTTCTCGATGCATTCGCCGCCTTTGAGCACATAAACAAAGTCCCCAGACTGAATTTGAGAAAGATCGTGGGTGATGACTACGGTGGTCATATTCCGGCGCCATCGCTTGATGGCCTCGAAGACAAGAATACGAGATGTGGCATCAAGAGCAGATGTTGCTTCATCTAGAGAGGTAGGGATTAATACCGATAATTCCGTAAGAAAACGTAACAGGCTTACCAAGAATGAGCACCGTCGGGTTCCTAAGCAAAGCACGGGCAATCGCAAGACGCTGCTTCTGGCCACCAGAGAGATTCGCGCCGCCATTACCGAGCTTGGTGTCGTAGCCCTCGGGAAGGTCGCTGATAAAGTCGTGCATGAGGGCAGCGCGGCAGACCTTCTCAACCTCGGATCTCTTGACGCTCTCCGGTTTCCTGCGACTCCACGGGCTGGCCAATCCCATCGCAACGTTTTCGTGAACGGTCATGTCAAAGAGGATGCATGTCTGAGAAACGGTGGCGATGTGTTCACGTGACCAATCTTCGTCGAGGTAGGAGAGGTCTTGGCTGTCGAGCTTAATCATACCGCCGCCGAAAGGAAGATCGTACATGCGAAGGAGCAGCTGAGCGATCGTTGACTTTCCGGAACCAGACGAGCCAACAATGAATGTCGTTTCGCCGCCGGGAAGGAACATGCGGATACCCTGGAGCACGGGAATCGACGGGCGAGAGGGGTACGCGAAACTCACATCCTCAAAGTCGATGTCACCGTGGCACTGAGGAGGTACGATCTTGCGAATGGTGATGACGCGCTTCGCAGATTTGAGAGGAGTATACAGCACCGAAGCCGAACGAGCCAGCGCGGGCTTCGGCGTTGATTCTGCGAGAGTGAGGAGGGAGACCATTGCGAACTTGCCCTTCGCGATGACGATGAGCTGAGGAACACACATCTGAATGTTGCTCGTCGCGATGAGGCACGCCCAGAATACGGTGTTCACGTCGCCCGCGCTGAGCGAGCCAGACTTGACGAGCTTCGCGCCGTACCAAAAGCCCTGGACGAACATGGCCATCATGGCAAAGTGCGAGATACTGGCGGTGATGCCCCAAACGGTCGAAAGGGAGTGAACGGATGCCTGCATCTTGTCAAGAATAACGCGAAGGCTGGCTTCTTCCTGGAA